TTATCAATTTAATCGCCATTCTTTAGATAATCAGTGATTTGGCGACAACTATTGAGAAAGTATTCTCGACAGGTTGAGAGAGGATGTTGTATGAGAATGTCATATATTTGGTTTTGTCAGTATTAAGTGTAAGTGCATTTACTCTGAGCCACTCGGTTACCGAGTTAAAGCCAAATTGGGCTTGTGTGAATACGTCATTCCAACTTGAGGCACTGAAAAGTAGGACTGTATCATCGGCATAGGATATGATCTTACCGCTAGAGAGGGGAAGAGTGCATAGTTGGTTAATATAGACAAGAAATAGGATCAATCCTAATATGCTTCCTTGGGGAACACCGTATTCAATAGGCAATTCATCACTCGTAATTTTGTCAATCGTCTCTCGCTGTTTTCTATCAGAAAGGTAGTCCTGTAAAAGTTTATGTTGAATTCCTCTAATTCCCAGTGCTTCTAACTTGTTTAAGAGAATTGGGATGGTTACGGTATCAAAAGCTTTTGCCAGGTCTAGAAAAATAGCCAAACACTTATTCTTAGAGTCTAGATTCCTTACAATGTAATCAGTCAGTTCGTCAACTGCGTCGTTAGTTGATAGTCTTGGTCTAAACCCGAATTGGGAGGTCAATAGGAGTTTCTTATTTTCTAAGTAATGTACAAGCCTTTTGTAAATAATTCTTTCAAGTATTTTAGAAAGAGATGGCAATATAGCAATTGGGCGATAATTGTTTTTACATTGCACTTATCACCACTTTTGTGACTAGGTTTCACAAGGGCTAATTTCAGAACTTTGGGAAATATTCCTGTTGATAAACAGAGGTTGAAAATGTAGGTGAAGTGTTGAATCAAACAATCCTTATATTGTTTAATGAAAGATCAGGGAATTTTGTCAATCCCAGTTGCACAGTCATTTCTTAAATTCATAATAATATTAATGTATGTAAAATATTAAGTTCAATTTCGTCCGTTTCGACTAAGGCTAGTGAGTGTAATTGTGTGGCGTGAGACGAGGTCATGGTCGACGTCGAAAGTGGAGCGTTGATTAGCGCCTTTTCAGCTAAATGTTTCCCTATATTAGCGAAGAAAGAATTTGCTGCGTTAACAGTTTGCTCTGCATTGACAGAGTTAGCAATGAGTTGCAGGGCAGACGATTTTGAGTTAGTCATGTTCGTGATATTTTTGATGACCTTCCATAATCGTTTTTTGTGTTGACCGGCATTTAATATTTGCGTCTTTTCATAATTACGTTTCAATTTTTTAAATAAATTGTTACAGAAATTTCTGTATCTATAATAAGTAGTTTTAATTATTGGATTATTCGGGAACTTTACAAAGTTTTGGTGAAGTTTATCTCGATTTCTAATGCAGCGCAGCAAGCCTGGGGTAATCCAAGGTTTAATTATTTTATTGCGTCGCGTAAATATTTTGGTCGTCGTATTCATTTCAATGATTTTAGTTAGCGAACGGACCAAATATTCCATTGCTACGTTTGCATCGGCTGAGTTGTAAATTGGGGGCACATCTAAACTTGCAAGGTCGCGAGACACACCCTCATTATTCAGTACTGTATGTGTACTGATAAAATTATGTCTATTGAAGCTCTTTTGTAGTTAGAGTAGTAAAATATAGTGATCAGTTACAGTAGTTTTTAAAATTAATGTTTTTACGGCAAGAATGGTTTTGGCTAAGATATGATCTATGCAGTTACGATCTCTCGTTGGATGAAGATGGGTAGGGAGGTAACCAAGGGAAGCTGTTTGGTTTAAGAATTCCGCTGAGTTGTTATCTTCATTGTCTATCTTAATATCAATATTTAAGTCGCCAAGAATGAATACATTTCGGAATGAGGAAAGTGTTGTCAAAATGGCGCATAGAGAGAGTAAAAAATTTCTTATGTTTTTGTACGAGGGAGAGCGGTAAATAGCTACAACAGCAATATCATTCCCAATTTTTCCGATCAAACAGTTAGCGTCCAGAATTATAGGCTCCTCAACTATGACGTTTGGAAGGTCATTTTTTATGTAGAGCGCTACGCCGTCGTTTTGTAAAACTTTGCTTTTGTTACTGAAATATGAATTATAACCGTCCAGATGAGGAGTCGATGGTGTATTGAGTAAACAACACTCTGTTAAAACAAAGATGTCAGGTTCAAAATAGTTGGATTTAACAACGTTAAAAGACCGTCAAAATTACATCTAATGCTTCTAATATTCTGTAAAACTATTTTTAAATTATAAGTAGACTTAGAAATAAACGTGGGGCACTTATCTGGGTCGCATGATATGGATTGAAATTCACACGTCGCATCAATGTCCTGCGCTAAATCGTTAACATTAGTGCCCATATATAAGCTGTATTAGAATAGGAGGGCGGCGCTCTAGGCGCCCTCATAATCAATAGTACCTATGTGCCTGGTTACTGCGCTTTTCCTAGCTGGACACTGCTCGTCTCCTGTTTTGTGGTTGGCGGGTTTATTGAAGCGTATACAGGTGGCGCACTTCGCGGGCTCCGCGTGCTTAGAACACTCCTTGATCGAGTGACACCGCAGTGGCCGCACGTGGACTCAGTATCCCGGCAGAACTTTGCGGAGTGTCCGTACTGCTGGCATTTATAGCACCTAGTTACTATTGTGTAGTCTCTTACCGGGCAGGAGGTCCAATTAATAAAGACACGCTGCTGTCTACGAGTGTCCTCCGAATGGGAGCTGTGACTTCAAAAATATAGTTACAGGTGGGCTCGTTCTTTTTGCCTGATTTATGGCTAAGTTTTATAGAGCTTTCTAAAGTGTTTCTGGTGAGGCTGGGGTGCTTATCACTTATATTTTGTTCATACAAACACTCCAATAAGTCTTTATCTGAGATGGTAGAGGGAACGCCTAAGACTATAACCTTTGGCCGCTTTTTAGTAGCATCTTCTACTTTGAGTCCTGATGTTTTTAACTGGTCTGACTGTTTCAGCTTTATTAAATCATCTTTCATTTCTGAGCTGATGACTACACCACCATCTTTTGTTTTCCGCATACCGCTGATATGCAGATTCAGTTCCTCGGGCTTTATTAAGTTCTGTAGAATTTTCTTGGTAACGTCACTTGATGTATCTTTATTAGCAGGATAAATAGCGATACTGCTCGTTTTCGAAGGACAAACTAGGGGCATGCCTCCTTTTCTAACCATATCATTAAAAGATTGGTTAGATGGTGATGCTCTAGGCACAGATTGCACGCAGTTTTTTAGGTCTTTTAATTGGGCAGCGATATTAACTTGCTCATCCGAAGCATTGATCAAAGTACTGGCCGAAATATATTTTTGTTTCAGAGACTGGTATTGCACAGCCATCTGAGAGGCACCTCCAAGCACTGACCTGCTAATGTTGCTGATTTTCAGCTTTTGCTAGGTGTTAAGTTTCCCATCACCAGCAATAGTGCATATTTCATTCAAGCAGTGTTCTATTTGAACCATCCATTTCTGAATTTCAGGGGTTGAGATCATGTCCTTAGTTGGTGCAAGGCCGGGGACTGCAGTTGAGCATGGGGTAGGCTCTTGATCCACGTGCCGCCTTACAGGGGGTGGGCTGCGATTCATCATCGTACTTCTGCTGAACGGGCTATTCATACTTCATAATTTACTTGAAGCACAAAAGCGCACGTAATATCACAAACACTTCAAAACAGTCCAAAAAGCGCTAAGACTGCGTTGACACAGTTACAGTTTTATAATCGTTTTAAATAATTAATAATTAAATATTAAATGCTGGCAGACACGTCTGTCTCTGCCAAGCATGAGCTCCGAATTTTCATTGATCACATGAAGAAACTAGAAGCACAACTCCTGCGTTACAAAGAGTACGAGTATTATTACTTCAGGTCTAGGACTTATTTGAGGTACCTGCGATAATAGAGTGGTGCAAAAAGGATAACATATTAATGACGCTACAGCACCGTCGCCCTGCATGAATAGTAATGAATATATCTGTCTAGGGCTACATAGACTTCAATCTATTATCGCTGTCTGACTATAGATTTATAAGTACAATTAACGCATTTCATCTGATGTTACAAATGGCATCTCAAGCTTTCAAAGGACTAGATTGATTAGGTAATCCGAAAAGAAGATCTTAAAGGAACTTACGCGTATCTTGACGTTATTACAGTTTGTGGCAAAATTCAGCATGATAAAAATCTTAAAAGATTCATGTCAGTTGCTCAGTAATATGGTTTTAGACATTGACTTATGGTTTTAGAAGACGTCGCTTCGAATTCGGCCGGATCGAAAGAATTTTTTTGAGTGTATTTATCTTTGTATTAATAATTATAACAAATTAGTGGAATAATTTCACATAAAAATCATTAAATATATAGTGATAAACGATTTCTATTCTATTATATTCTAATATCAATTCAATAAAAGTTTAAATACAATAAATAGCGACATCTCTAGCCGGGGCTGGTAGCTGTAAAGGTATCTAACTGGGTGATGAAATATCATAGATTTCTCATAGATGGCGCTACGGCTAAAATGTCGTCGAAAAACCAAAATACAAAGATACGACGCAAGCACTTAGAAAAATTCGTGATTTCCGCTTGTTTGTTCCGTGGCTTAGTTGGTATAGCGTTTGACACGGGATGCTAGAAGACGTGGGTTCGAATCCGGCCGGATCGAAGGAATTTTTTTCTGAGTGTTCGATCTTTGTATTTATAGTAAAAATAAAGGAACTATACAACCAGTGATGTAGGTACCCGTACCCCAATATCGGATATCTAGTATTGTGGATACCTAGGTATCCAATATTGAGGTAACTAACTAACTAACTAACCTACTTGTACAATAATCGGTTACGAAAATTTCACCCTGCTCAATTATGGCTAAAATGCATTAAGTTCTGTAATCTATTTACGCGCCCTAGCTAGTATCTATCACTGTCACAAACAGTACTACCTACAGCGTTCGGAATTCAAGATCTAACTAAATCGTCGAACGGAAAAATCATACTTGATGGGAAAAATCTTAGAGGATGGAAAAAAATACACTTTCAATGTTAACAGCGAACTGAAGGCAAAAATGGCGCAGACAACTAACAAAATTTAGTAACTTAAATTGGCGAAGTAGTTTTAGTTTTTAAATAAAGATTGTGTTGTTTAGTTGTCATTACAGCGGGGTATTCAGTATTGTGCACGTATTCAATATTTGGTACACCTCCCTTATATAGACCTACATATAATGCATACCACGGAAGAAAGAATATGTGGTCTGTGATGCATACTGATGAATATAATAATATTAGAATAGAATAGACACTACTCCGACAACATGTTACATCGACATGATTTTGCTCCGACACTACGCGACTTCGACAACACAGACGATTTATCGTTGGACGACTGTTGCGTCTAGCCGTTCCCATATAATGACTATCTGTCCTGACTGCGTCGTCGTGGACGATTATTTTATCGTTGATCGACTGTCGTGTACCTGTCTACCTGTCTATCTGTACTACCTGTTCCCACTAGATCGTGACGGCAACTTATCGTTTCACGGCAGCTGCCTTGTCGTTTTCAGGACAGAGTCGTTTGATGCACTGCAGTCGCTTCTACGAGTATGTTCTATATTGTTTTAGAAGCCAGTAGATCGCTCCTGAAATGGATGAATATGAAATGTTAATAATGTATTACTTTTCAAAAAGGCGGACGAGGAAGCAAACGAAGAAAATAAAGTTTTGGGTACATATAATGATATTAAATAGAATTCCATTAGGATTGTATGAAACGCTTATAGATTAACTGGCAAGTGATGAGAGAATATTTGGGACAATTTAAGAATTGAATATTTTGTAATAATATGTATAATTAAATTTGAACAAAACTCAATTCACAACAAAAATTTAGTTGCAAATAGTTTTTGACCTCGATTCACTGCGACTATCTGGCGTCACGTTTTTATCGTGACCTTTTATTTATCGTTGGAGGACTGTCGTGTCTAGCCTGGTCCTATATCACGACTACGCAAAATAGGCGCCTTGTCGTCGAGTTGCGGACACCAGCCCGTTACACCAAGTACCAAGTATCACGACTATCTGTCGTGGACGTTAATTTTATCGTTGAACGAATGTCGAGTCTAGCTGTTCCGACTAGATCGTGACAACAATATATCGTGACTACGATAAATAGAACGTGACGACAATAGTAGCTGCGATTATCTGTCAAATGATGATAATGACGGAGATCAGCATCACCGGCATCATCAGCATCCTTCAGCAAAATCAGCTTCACTTCACCATCAGCATCATAAGTACCATCAGCATCGTAAGCACCATCAGAATCATTAGAACCATCAGCATCAGCACCATAAGCACCATCAGCATCATTAACAACATCATCAAAGCACTAACAGCAGCATCAGCATCATCGGCATTATACAAGCGTCATCAGCTCCGTCAGTATTATCTATGTATGTGTATCACCTTTTTCCGAACATTTTCATCGTGACGTTTTATTTATCGTCAGACTGTCGTTCTAGCTGTTCCTGTTGTGACGACAGTTTATCGTCGTAAGGACAAAAAAAATCGTGAACGACAGTTAATCGTGTGGACAACTACATGTGAACAACTTCATTTAAATATACAAGACACGACACTGTAAAACGGCACGACTATCTGTCGTCACGACTTAATAGGAATGCGCCATTCTAGGTTGTAATTTAATTGCGCGTCCGTACTTCAGTATTGACAGTTGTTGAGAGATATTTATTGTATTAAGCTCAACTCACACTGGCGCATAGTCGAAGCGTCGCGTCGCGTCGTGTTTTTCAACTGTACCGTCTGGCGACTGGCGACGACAATCGCATTAGTGCGCCGGGATCACAATTTGGTCGGCGTCTCACCCCTCACGGCGCCCAAATGACGCGCGGATACACGCGTCGACGCGCGAAGCCGCTTGATTCCATATTTGCAAAACTCAAATTTGTATCTTAATAATGGGAAAATATAGATGAATATGCTATAGGCGAAAAACATGACGCGTCGCGACGCTTCCACTCTGCACCATTGTGAGTTGAGCCTTACTGTGTATTAATGACAGCTGACTTGAGCTGACAGCATACGTCATCATCGGATGTGGTGTGACTGGTACCTATGGTAGTTTTGGCAAAAGAACCTAAACACAAATGAGTTGACAGAACTATTTTCTATTTATCATTATACAATTAACAAAATGAGTTTACACAAGGCCAGGTAAGTGGGGTTTGCTATAGTCGTATGGTAAAAATGTAGGAAAGTGGCATATAAGTTCGTTTTACAATGGATACCTACCAAAATATTTTTGTAATAATAGTGAACGGCGGACATATTCCAATCTTACATGTACGGTGTCATAACTCCTCCCTTTGTTTCACTTTGCTTCATAACAAACGTTCAGCGATGGACAAATAATTCTTATGGTACGGTATTATGATCCAACATTTGTCTAGAGGAACATAGGCAAATCTTTGTTTGAAGCCTCAGTGTTAATTAAATTATGTCTGCATGCATTGTCCACATAATAGCTTTTGATCCCCTTGAGTGTTCTTACAGTCCGTAGTACAGCATTATTTGCTGACCATTACGTATTACCTATTCTTTGAAATCATTCATGAGCCTATTTGCTCTTCAATCTTTACATAGACCGTCTGTGCATAATAAGTTTTAAAACCAACTTATAAAAGAAATAGGAATTGGTGTGTTTCATATCTTACATTCCATTGAATCATGCAAATTTGGTTGTTGTACCTTGATTTTTTATAAATGAGGAAATACATAACTATAATTTTGTACATCAGACTGTCCATACTTATTTGTTGGATTCGAATTATGGAGAAAATATCATGGGCGCTATTGTTTTTTAAAACATGGGAGTACATTCATAAGTAACTATTAGTCATGAAATATCGACTCATCTGTAGAACAAAGATCTATGTGCAAGATGACTTGTTCTCAGGACTGTGGTACATTTCGTTCATTCTTCTTCGCCATGTTCAATTTTTTATTTCTGTAACGAAATAAGTTATAGAAAGATGTTAGAAAAAAGATAAATTCTCAAAACACCTTTACATTACACATTACCTTAGTTTGAATAATGAAATTATTTTCATAATGTAACTTATTCCTCTTTTCGCTATATAATCACATCAGACTCTGTACTACGGATGAGTCTATATGTTCAGAAATATTAGACTATTAGTTTTGATTAGACTGAGCTCAAGCAGCAAGTTTTAATGAATTGATTACATACCTTTTTTGCTTAATATATAAATTTAGCCAATAATTTCAGAATAAAAGCCTTTGAAGAGATCCTTGAGGAAGATGTGATTGACATGAACCACCTTCAAAAACTGGCTTTCAATGGTAAGACCAATATTTATATTTTATATTCAATATTTATAATTTATATTTTATTACAAAAAAAAAGTTTGGGCGGAACTGAAACCCAATTAAACTTGAAATAATGGACTGCAATATTAAAAATATATATAAACTTATATACTTCTTATGTAATCATTAATTATAAAATCATAGGAATAGTCCAAAGCAGAATAAAAATAACTAAAAAATATAAACAAAACTTCTTATAAAAATATTAGCTGAGGAAGCTAATCAGAACCTTTAAATGTCTTCAAAGCTGCCTGCCGCATTTGGTTTGTTGAAATCTGCCCCAAAGGGTACTCTACAAAATAACAAATATTTTTCTTGCTTAAAAACACTCAATCATTGCAACCTGTAGTTTTAATATTTTAGCAATAAAACAATCCATACAACAAGTAAAGTTTAACCATTATCTATATTCTTCCAGTAATATCCCTACAACTATTTTTGAGAATGCTTACTTTTCGACAATGAGACTAAACATGACCTCTCATTCAGTTTTTAGCACATGTACACTGACTGTTGCCACTGACAGGTGTGGGACTCGGTGGTGCCCATGTTGTGCCTTATTATAAACATAATTCCTAAACGCACTGACTCCATAAACGCTTGTTCTTAGCTGCCCTTATTCAAAGGTGCCTCTTCCTGTAACAAAAGTTGTAATTTTTGAATTGAATAAAGTTTTTTTTCGGTTATTTTAGGTATCCCTGAAGACAAAGGCTTGCGTGCTCTAGTGTGGAGAATTTTGTTACACTACTTGCCTCAAGAGAAGAATATCAGAGATGGAACATTGATGAAGAAGAGACAGCTCTATAAACAGTTTATAGGTATGTAAGCATTTTACTAATCAACTATTTTTCCAAGAATGTGTCTATAATGTATATTGGTTGTGTTCTTGTCAATCATACCATACTGTGTAATAAAAACTTGTACTGTATAGTAAAAATTACTTAAGTAAAATGAAAAATGGGATTGTATCATATTTTCATTCAATAATTAGTATACTGCGTTATAATAGTTATCACTTAAAAGTGTTATTGTGTACAGAGCATAGTATTTAGGTAATTTATATTTTAATTAATCGTTAATATTAATTATAAAAGCAATCAAAATAGTCAAGTAGCTAACTAACTGTTCTTCTAATCTTCGAGTATCTGTTGAATCTGTTGTTCTAATCTTAGGGTCGTATTTCCAGTGCTTGAAATCATACTCAAGTCTGCTCAAATCCTGACTTGAGCATTGAGTAGAGTTTTAGAATATGACCCTGAGTGGTTACACACGGCGATAGCAGCGATGCAAACGCGCACGTACATTTAAAAGTAAAAAAGAAGTAAGTACAATAAATAAAATAATAAATTACTTAATTAATTTATAACGCGCATCGCGTTTGCAATCGCTGCCTAAAGTCGCGCTCATGTGCAAAGGTAGACAATTAACGACTCTTCAACTTCAACTTCAACTTTTGTGTCTATGGCTCCGTCGTTTTGCGCGACGATTTTGCCAATGTCAGGGTTGAGAGACATGTGTAGCGGTAGTGAGACAGATTGCCGGTAATTAAAATACTTCGGCGGTTTTTATTCACAATGACTCTTACACATTGCATGCGCAAAAGACCGATAGAGACCCTTTATATCAATTTCAATTGTTCGAACCACAAGCGATTGAAACATTTAGAATAAAGAAACTATAGAGTAGCTTTGATGTAATATTATTTTTACAATGACTTTTTATTAAATGTTAGTAATAACTCACAAAATATTGTTGTACCTACATGTTTTTAAATATTTGCAGATGAAATTATAGCGGCTCCCGGATGCGCCGGTGGCACCGACCATCCCTTAAACATCAGCCCTGACAGCACTTGGAGCACCTACTTCAAAGATAATGAAGTGTTGTTGCAGATCGACAAAGATGTCCGCAGACTCTGCCCTGACATCTCGTTTTTCCAGTCTGCTACTGAATTTCCTTGTGAAGAGGTTTGTATTACTTTAGTGTAACAGAATGTGACTTAGAGTGTTATGATTCAATCAGTCTTTGCCGCACATTGTTTACATGAATATATGAGTTGTGTTTAGTTGCATATAGTAGTACTCATAAGTTTATTATTACAGGTTGTTAACAGCAATGGAGTGAAACGACTGCACAGGCGAGTGGAAACTTCTGTTCTCAAATATTCCACATTGGAGAGGCGAGGTCTTGGTGTTGCTAAGGTGAGTAATAGAAGCATGTTTTGCACTCATCGCGTAGTAGAAGTCTTAGTAGAAACCTTTGCAGATTAGTCGCATCCCCAGAGTACGAATGGGTGTGTTGTCAAAGGCACCCTCAATTACTAGAAAAGCACACAGTGCTATTTGTTTGTCCTCAAACGCTCTTTCAAGCCTGTCCTCAAGGTGGAGCAGGGCTTTCTCTGTGGATTTTCCACTTTGATAGGTATGTTGAATGGGATGAAGGACTATGTATTAAGGATGTAGCCCTAATGTGATTATCAAGTACCTTCTCCATTGCCTTAAGTAAAAATGGGGTTATGCAGATTGGTCTAAAGGACTTGCAAGAGAGAAGTCGTTTCTACCTACTGGTTACATACAACAGAACATTTTATTTGAAAAAACAATTACTTCAATCGTCTTTTAATTTTGATACGTTCTGCTATATGTGGCCGGTGGTTTACATGCACATCTATGAGCATGCATGAGGTGCTTACTTAAAAATACTTAAATATCCAGGTCCTCAAGGCCGCAATTAATGAGTAGCACTGCAGTTTTGTAATAATAATAATAGCGCACACACTCAACGTAGCCCCACACTAGGGAAACCCTGTGTCGCGGGTGCCATGGACACACACATATACAACCACGAATTACACCCAAACTCACGCGATAAATAAATGTAGGCCATACCTGGGACTTCTGCGTGGCAGTCCGACACGGTAACCGTTGGCCATAGAGACATTTTGCCTGAGTCCAAATCATGTTTTTGTGAAAATAGGACTTTGCAATACTGTATAAGTGGAAATAGTGACACATTTGGTCGAATTCTTTATTGCACATGTAATTGACCAGGTCACAGGTGTTTAATTAAATTTGATCGCACGTGTTTTCTCAATTCACAATCAGGTACATAATTATGTTTAAAGTTATGCAGCTCTTCATTGGCCACAGTGTATGATAACAATCGCGGGCTACTTTATGGTAATTGAAACATTTCAGCTAAGCAACGAAATTCGTCGATCTGATAGCCTCTCGTGTGGAGACTACGCGCCGCTGCACGAAGGTTGCGAGGCGCACTGGGAAGTGGTGGAGCGTATGCTGTTCCTTTACGCGAAGCTTAACCCCGGACAGGGCTACGTACAGGGCATGAATGAAATCATTGGCCCTATATACCACACCTTTGCCTGTGACTCTAATAAGGAATATAGGCGTAAGTAGAATAGACTATGAACTTTGTTATTTCGAATACTTAAAATAATTTTACGACTTCATTTTGATACAAGACAAAAAGACAGTACAGATGGTAATTGTTTTTAAATGTCACTAGACATCTATGTGCCAAAAGGATGGGAGGAAAATCTGAAAGGAAAGGAAGATTAGATAAGATTTTAACGCCGAATATGATTTAACATGAAGGTGGTAATTGAAAGTATTTAATAAAAAATATTATAGCACCACAACACTTACAGTCTGATGATAGTCCTTGTTTTAATGCGTCATCATCAGTTTTTTATACTTGTAAATAGTTTCAAATTACCGATACAGTGAAAGTCTAGTTACAACACTACAATGTTCAAATGTTATATACACGTGCTATAAGAGTGTTGAAAAAGTGATCAGGTCTAACATTCCTTTTATAAAGTGTTGCGTATTGCTCTTTGTTATTCAGAGCATGCAGAAGCAGACTGCTTTTTTTGCTTCACGAACTTAATGGCGGAGATACGAGACTTCTTCATCCGGACACTAGACGAGGCTGAAAGTGGAATTAACTACATGATGACCAAACTAAGCGACTGTGTGAAAAGACACGACGTCGCCGTATGGAATCAACTCGAGAAGCTCGAGTTACGACCTCAGTACTACAGCTTCAGGTACATCAAACGGGATGAGTTGAAGTAACTGCTTTAGTGAGACTTTCGGACTTAATTCAATTCAAATTCAATTCATGGCTTAATGGCTTATTCCACTCTTTTAAGCAAGTTGGTGCCGATTGTGACAACGCACTTTTTTAACGCTCGCACTCATAGCCCCGCACTAGGGAAACTGTATCGCGGGTGCCTTGGAATACACACACACACACACACACACACACACACACACACACACACACACACACACACACACACACACACACACACACACACACACAGACAACCATAAATTACACCCAAACTCACGAGAGAAATAAATGTAGGCCATACAGATTGTTCTCTCGACCTCGAGACCTCGAAAGAACAATCTCCCGACCTCTGCGTGGCAGACCGGCATGGTAACCGTTCGGCCACGGAGCCAGTTACAAATTTGTCTTTACTACGTTAGGAGAAGGACATTTTAGTACTTTTCAGTAGCAGTACAGCTCCTTGTGAAAGAGTTCGTCCAGGGGAATTCTGCCACCTTACCTATTTCTACCGCCAAGCGGTAATGTGGGTATTAGGAACTGCGTTCCGGTTTTGAAGGGTAAGGGTGCTGGTGAAATTACAGGCACATGGGATTTGTCAACTTGTGTCTCAGGGTGACCGGCGCAGTTGCAGTGCCCCTCGGTTATAGTTCACATATTTAAGGCCCTATAGAATATTCTATAGTCGACATACTCGTGCATTTCCGGAGCTATCATTAATGCTTTACGGTTTCTGCATAAAGATTTCCTTAGAAAGCTCGCCATTTAAAAAAGCAGTCGTGACATCAAACTGAACTAAATAATAATAATAACACACACACTCAACACATCCCCGCACTAAGGAAACCCTGTGTCGCGGGTACCATGGACACACGTATAGACAACCACAAATTACACCCAAACTCACGAGAGAAATAAATGTAGGCCACACAAATATTTCTCCCGGCCCGGGAGTCGAACCTGGGACCTCTGCGTGGCAGTCCGGCATGGTACCCTTTCGACCACAGAGGCAGTTATGCAGTTTTCCTGAGCACTGATACTTAAAAGTGCTCTTGCTTGCGAGACTCACTACGGGGCTTACCATCAGTCGAGCTTTATATGTGAAAACTTATGTCTAAGGGTGTGTGTCTCCAAATCTTTGTGATTTAAAGTTCTGAGTGGCACTGCAACTGTTATCGCTAGGCCTGTCGCTTACCACCAAGCGCCCGACTTGTTCGTCCGAATAAATACAAAAAGTTTAGGGCTGTCAAATTTATCGACACTTACACAACTACTGCAGAATTTCAGACAGCATGTGTATGTATCACAACTAATTTGATAAGATTCAACACAATTTAACAATTTTAAGGTAGAATTAAATTTTTCGTCCTTTTTTTACTGATGACTTTTTAGTCTGCACAGGCCCGGAACTGCCTAGTTCTGCCACTGAGCTACCACTTTCAATTTCAATTAATCCAATACAAAACAAACCAATGAGACTGTTGTTCTAGATGGCTGACACTGCTGCTCTCTCAAGAATTTTCTCTACCGGACGTCGAGAGGATCTGGGACTCTCTGTTCGCCGATGGGCAGCGGTTCAACTTCCTCATTTACGTGTGCTGTGCCATGATATTGTAAGAATTATTCACTCGTTCGTTCAAATCGTACGTTTGTAGGTTATGTACGAACTTTATTATACACTTATACAGTAAGGTATGTGCTTAGAGCATAAAGGATGGGAGGCGCTATTAGCGTTACTTCTCGAACATAACCACAGGGCCTCATTTTTGTACCCACTATGACGTCACAAGAACTATTATGTCTGTGAACACACTCTGCCACTTTTTGAGGGGCGGGGGGGTAAGACTACAAGTAAACAGGTGCACTCGAATGCAATATTGAGTTGTGTCACTATGGTTTGACACAAACAAACATCGACAACACTAGCTTATTTTTACAAATACACAGATCAAACACACATTGATGTCATGTCCGTACACAAAATGGGCCTATAAAAAATAAAGCAATTCTCATGAATATACTAGAGACGGAAAGTTATCGTGGCGTGGCGGTATCGATATGTATTACGTACTGGTTAATTAGGTATATGAAAAATGAAATTCCACCCTTGGCTAGACTGGGTGTAGAGGATTTCTTTTCGCAATTTTGCGAGTAGTGTAACAGTGGTATTGTTTTACTTGTATTTGCCAAAGGAGATTGCCCATTGACTTCCCAATAAATGGATGACAATAAATACAAAGTCTAATCCAAAAACCGTGAAAAAATGTCCGGAGTTTTTCCGGCTTTTCGCGGTCAGCGTTGGAGCCAATAACAAGCATGGCTGGAGTTACCCTTTACAAACGTAGTGACATGTATAGAAATATAAAAGAAAAACTAAAACATTTAATTTAAATTGTAAAGTCATTGCAGTATTGCTTAATTTCGTTTGCTACAATTTAAAGGCCCGAAAATTATCCATATTCAGCTTCTTACTGGAAGTAACAAAATGCACCATATTTAGCTTCTAGTGATAACTACTTGAACACAAGAGTGATGGAGTAGTCTGAACGTCAATTAATAAATTTTATAGTATTATGTTGAATTTTATACGAATTCACTTCAAGTATTAGGAGTTGTGTATATATATAAGTACATACAAATATTATAAATGTGAAAATAGCTGTGTCTCTCTGTTGATAGTTCTGACGTGCTGTAAGAAATATATCGATGTTTCGTATTTCTAGATTCCAACTAAACGTAAACACAAAGTTTCATAATCTCGAAAACCGATTTATAATAAAACCGTTATGCTTTCAGGGGATTTTGGTTGCTTATTATAAAGAAAAGATGAAGTTAGTTTGTTTTGTAATATTCCGAAAATAATGTAAAAAAATACATTTGGGATTACGAAAATTCGAGCAAACATTATTTCCGGCAAATGTATTTTTGAACTTCTGATTGGTAACCCCAAACTAAAACGAATACAATAATATTTTGTTAGTTATTACTAACATTTAATAAAAAGTCATTTTAAAAATAAGATTAACATTAAATCAACTCTATAGTTTCTTTGTACTATATCTAAATATTTCAATCGCTTGGGGTTCGAATTTTGAAATTGATGTAACGGGTCTCTTTCTGTCTTTTGCGCATGTCTTGTGTAGAATAAGGACAGTTAGCGGTTATTTATTTTGATTGCTTTTGTAATTTATGTGTATTTTTATTTTTTCTTACTATACGGAATGAGTTACGATGATTTATATTGAAACAATTACAATTTATTTTCATTATTTATAATTTATTTCCATTATTTATAATTTATTTCATTATTATTTAATATATAATACGACGGAGAAATCAATTTGAATAAACTTCGTTACATAGTCTGTAAAAAATCGGAGAATAAAAGCACGTTCGCTTCTCTATGTATAATGAATAAAGAACAAACAATGAGTCTTACCATTGCATGATTTTTAGTATTCTAAAGCAATTTTTGTAAAATATCTAAATTATAATCTCAGTACAGAGTACTAAAAAAACCGACCTGAAAAGTGCGTAGTAAGTAGTGTCGTGGCACTTATAGAAATAGCCAGAATGCGTTGTGATCAACTCAAAAACCACTTGTAAAGCAATGCAAATAAAGATATTATAGTATTCAATAAGCATTAAGACGGGAATCTAAATTAAACATTTCTTCATAGTAAAGCTGATTTGATTATATTGATTTTAATATTTGAACCTAAAGCGTCATTGCGATGCCTAAACTAAGTAAATGTATACCTGTATTTTAGACATCGTTTTCTGGAAATTTCTTTACATGACAGCTTAAAAATATATTTTCTATATTTAACAATAAAATAATGAGATATTAACATTAAGAAATTAGTAAATAAAACATTAATTTTTATTCTCGTTTCCTTAATTGGTAATATTAGTATGAAACTAACTTTAAGTATTAAACTAACTAACTATGATAAATAATAATATGTTCATTTGACTAGCCATGATATTTGATTATTAACGCACTGACGCACTCGAAAATGGCATTCAAAAATGAACACAAACGTAATGACCACAACGTATATAAAGGGTGTAATCGTTAAGTGTGTCCAGGCGATTATTCCATAAATATAAGAGATATCAAAAGGTTTTAAATTGATATCGTAAGTACGTACCTAATAAGTACATTGATATCGATAACTTTTTTAAATAAATCTAGAAATATACAAATTTTTTACATTACACGCTCTCATATGTTTAATATGACATTTCTAGAGAGGCTTCAGTTTTTCCTACTGTAAGAGGTAATAATAAGTTAACAGATAGCAAAACTGCTATAAATAAAGTATATTTCAATCGAATAAAAATATAATGGCATAGTCAATTATTAGGCCAAGTGTAAGTTGTCCATAAAAATGAATAAAATTGATCAAATTTTTTTTAGGGCTGATCAACACGGTTTCATGTAAGGATCATTTCATTGTATGGGTATATATTCTAGGTAAACAATGAAACGTACGTATAAGAACGTTACCTGATCTATGGTCGAACTGAATCAATTGCGTTACGTTCTTGCATCTATTCTAAAATTCTTTATTCCCGACTTCTAAAAATATAGAAAAATATGAATATATATATAAACTAAAACGTAAAATTATACTAGCAAAGTCCATGAACGGCACTTCGTTGAGTTTGGGTCAGCTTTCGCCATCCTTCTTTAATAAAATGTCATTTTGAATGAAAAAAACTTTTTATTAAATTTGGCCCACTTCTGCTGTCCCGATTCTTTTAATCCAATACAATAAAATAATTCTTATAAGAAACTGAATCTATCAGCATTAAAAAAATAGTCAATTTTATTCATTTTGTATAAAAAACATTTTATTAAATTTGACCAACTTCTGCTGTCCCAATTTTTTTGGTTCCGTACTATGAAATGATCCTAACAATAAAAAAAAATTATTTTATTTATTTATTCATTTTTATGGACAACTCACACTTGACCAAATAATTGAGTATGCGTGTATTTTTATTCAATTAAAAGACATTTTTATTACTTTATTTGTAACAGTTTTGTCATCTGTTAACTTGGTACTTGGTACTTGGTGCAACGGGCTGGTATCCACAACTCGACGACAAAGCGCCTATTTTGCGTGTGGATCTGTTAACTTATTGTTACTTCTTACAGTAGGAAAACTAAAGCCTCTCTTCATTGACCTAGCAACAAATGGACATCGGGTCAAATACAAAAACCACTAAAAAAATGTCCGAAGTTAACCTATGCAAACGTAGTGACATCTAACGAAATATAAAAAACTAAAACATTTAATTTAAGTTTTAACCTCATTACAGTACTGCCTAATTTTGCTTGTAACAATTTAAGGACCCAAAAACACCATATTCAGATTCTACTGGAAACTTAACAAAATGCACCATATTTAGCTTCGACTGAAAAATACTTGAACATAAGAATAATGGAAAAGAATGGATTTCTCGTAAATTTTAATTAATTTTTATGTACATTATTATGTTGAATTTTGTACAAATTCACTTAAAGATATAATAAAGAGTTGGGCAGATACATACATACAAATATTACTACAAATATGAAAATAAGCTTGTACTATAAGAAATGTGCCAATGTTACAACTAAACGTAAACTCAAATATCCGTAATTCCGAAAACCGATTTATAATAAAACCGTTACCCTTTCAAGTAATTTTGTTTTGTAATATTCCTAAAAAAATACATTTGAAATTATGATAATTCGAGCTAACGTTATTTCGGGCAAATGTATTTTCTGACTTCTGATGACAAGCAGTAAAACGAGTACAACAATATTTTGTTAGTTATTGCTAACGTTTAATAAAAAGTCATTTTAAAAATAAGATTAAAATCAACACGACTCTATAGTTTCTTTGTTCCAAATATTTCAATCGCTTATATTTCGAACATTTGAAAATGACCAATAAGTTTATTTAGGCTTCTTGAAATTGACGTAATGGGTCTCTTTCCATCCTTTGCGCATGCAATGTGTAAAAAAAGGACATTTAGCTATTTGATTATTTTGTTTGCTTTTGTAATTTATATTTACGATTAATTTATATATAAATTAATTACTTTAAAACGGTACCAAATAACACTTTTAAATGAAAATTATGATAACACAATATATTTGTTTAGTGAAAATATGATTTGACTTTACTGCAGTAATTTTTACAAGTTATTATTATATAGTACTGCAAGATTGACAACCGCGCTCTCAGTCGAACAAGAAGACTCGAAGAGTGTTGCGCGAATGACGCCCTGTATGCGATTTTGACGCCCTATAGGTGCGGACACTTTTTAGCGCGAACCGACATCCATTTGTTAGTAGGTCAATGCCTCTCTACGAATGTCATAGTAACGTTACGCGGAATTGCCGCTAATTTCTTACGAGGTTTAGAATCAGGCTCATGGAATATGCGATGTTAAGTAGGATTGTGCAGAGCCTACGACAACGAGGACCTTAACACTGTCATATTTTTGTATCAGATTGATGAGAGAAAACCTGCTGAGCGGCGACTTCGCGGCTAATGTCAAATTACTTCAGAACTTCCCACCGATGGACGTCTCATTAATCCTCAACAAGGCTCTAGAACTATCTAATAGTTAATCTTTTTGAATATTTTTTGTACAAATAATTTTATACAGTAAGTTTTTTAAGGTAAGAAGCATTTAAAATAATTTTTTACTATTGTGTGTTTATGTACAATTTTATAACATAGGTACATTTTAGATCGAATATATTCGTGTTTTAGAGAGGTAATAGAACATTCCTTCGCATTCTTTCGGGACTAAGTTTATATAATGATCATAATTATAATATTACATGAAATATTTCAAAATTCATATTCGTACGTAATTTTATGAATCGATTGCAGTTTTCTAGTTTATAATAACACATCGATCATTAAGATATTTGGATTGTAGTAGCAATAATATCAAGTGTAAGTTAGTGCTACAATTGCAAGTTGCATTTTATAATTCCTTCATTGTTGGCCATATTTAGTTACCATTATACAATATACAGACCACAGCACATCCAGCGTAAATAAGTACACGGCTGATTTACTAGCCGTTGTGCGAATGGAAAACTGTGCGTACGCAGTGTTGGGTTAACGGGGAAGGCAGGTATAGTAGCACTTGTGTGCCATTTTGCACAGACCATCCGCGAATGGTACTCGCGCATGCTTAACGTTGCCCAATGTATTGCACGACATTGTCAAGGCTCATCCTAATGTTTTCCAAATGACACACATAAAGCTGGGTACTCACTAGCGAGCTGTAACTGTTGCATGTTATGTTACCAAAAATCATAGTGTGTACGTGGTATGCGAACTTTATTTATAACCAGGTACTCATTCTATCAAATGAAGATTATTTCATGCGTACACACTAGAACCTCGTTACTGTATCTGTCACGTTACAGTTACACAGTTATATAGCTAATGAGTACCCGGCTTTACTATGATGTGTAATTGACATAACAAATCCAGAGTGAAAAAACCAATTACTTTCGTATGTTTTATTTATACATGCGATATTGTACCAATCTTTTTACAATTAATTATTAAGTCAATGAAATCAGTTGACAATATTATACTTATGGAAATATTTTGCTTAAAAATATTTTTATTATATAAAGTAATAAACTCTTGTACTTTGCGGAAAGATTTCTAGAAAATACAACCAAAACTTAATGTATTGTTTCACTTCTACGGTATATTCCAACCTACCCACCTACCTTACCTATTGTGTTAGATAGAGCATCGAGCCTGGGTTTACCCGGTCCGAGAAAAGCCGGATTTTCCCAGTTCTGATGGTTACAAAGAAACCCGGGTTTGATTTTAAAAACCAGGGTTTTTCGAGTATTTTACCTAATTTTTTTGTTATTTATTATGTATAAACCACTTCGAATACAATAATAAATGTAATAAAAACACGCTTACATGTAATTAATTATGTGTACAGAAGCGTAGTTGCTACGTTTCTTCCCTACCTACCAAACAACCAAGAAAACAAGCAATGCGTAAAGTGGAATGGAAAATTTCTTTAACAGTTTATACAATGTTTTTTAATTTGGAAAGTCCTGTTTCATTTATGATAATTCTTCATCTCTTCCTTTGTTTCATTGTAGAAAATCAGCATAGGAACAGTTTCTTTTTTTTGTAACATAACAAAAAGATCGAAAAGCTCGAAAAAGCCCAGTCTACCCGGGTTTTGACTATACTATGACCCGAAAACCCGGATTTCAAAATTGGTCTGGGTTTCGATGCCCTAGTTTTAGTGAACTGCCGTAACTTAAAAGCATAAAAAAGGAACCCTCTTGAAAGTTAACTTGCCTATCACCACGTCAAAACTAACGATCTTTTTTATTCAGTAGAACGTTTGCGCATCTGCCTCCAATCCGTATCAGTTCCGAATCCGAGAAATGACGGTCCGACGTAGTCATGAGATATTGCGCACTAAATCCGGATTTTATCTTCGTAACTCCAGAATACCTTCAATTCGTATCATTATTTTTACGGGCCGAAGTAAGTACCTATAGTATTAATTGCATTAACGTGTACGCACTGTGTCCGATCCAAGTGCTTACGCAGTGGCGGTGGCGCGGAGGGGTGGAGGGAATTAGCAGGTATCGATACATAACAAGAAGCCGGTGAGGTATCCAAAGAAAAATGTATACTGAGACATGGAGGTTCTGTGTTCATGAGGGAACAAGCACGTCTTATGCTTCAAAAACGTAAATTTAGAATCCCAGTGCCCTCAAGAAGGACTGCCTTGTCAAATAAATTAATTTCTTTTCTTGGTCCTTTTGTTTACAAAAGGGTTAGCGCCATAGTATTTTTAAAAAGGTGTTCAGTTTGGTCATGTTCAGTTAATGAAACAAAGTGTAAAAGTGGCTCAATACACTATACTATGAGGATATTGAGGAAATACTAAGGGTCGTATTCTAGAACTCTACTCAATACTCAAGTTAGAACTTGAGTATTGCAGTGAGCACTGAAAATCATTCTCGAGCCCTTGCCATTAGGGTCGTATTTCCAGTGCTTGAAATCATACGCAAGTCTGCTCAAATCCTGACTTGAGCATTGAGTAGAGTTCTGGAATACGACCCTGAGAGTTAATATCTGAACTAAACTTTCTGCCTACACAAACACACATATACTACAGCACATACGTTCACAAAAAACACACACACGGACGCACACACACAATTTATTATTCATTAAAATAATCATTTCCTTTAAATATTGTGATAGATTGTTAACTAAAATTCTTATTCCTAGTCATTTGTCTATTATTTGTCAAATGACTAGAAATAAGACTATAATATCTACGTAGTTCACAATTATAAACTATTTGCGTTCTATATTTGTAACCTCACCTATGCGACAGACTATGCCTAGTGAAGGAGCCAATGTAACACGAGCCGGAATAATTTAATCAATAAAATAAGTTTCATTACATTTATGATATTCTCAATTATAAACCACATTAAGATTACTATTTTATTCACATTCTGTCGTAGGTAATAAAAATAGTAAATTTTAGAAATAATAAATAGTTTATTAGTTAAATGTAATACTAATTTTATAATTTGTATAAATGTTTGTCGAACTAAAATTTTTCATAGATACTGTTATATAAAATAAATGAAAAGCGGACACACCACTCAATCGGTAATAATTATAAAATTTCTTGCTTGTTTGCCTTAGTTCATTGTCATTATTATAAAATGTTCCTATAAAAAGTAATCAAGTGTACCCAGATCTCTATTTCTCCTGCGTCTTCGTTAACAATGCCAAAAGTTGACGGCGATTAAAAAGTCGCATAGTTATCGGACGCTGCATGCAACACAGCACTAGAGTAACCAGAATCAATTGTGTATCTATAGATGTACAAGCGATATTTTTCAGATTCAGTCGGACGCAATGCACATGCGACATTCCAAATCGTTGAATTCTTTAAATCTGTACATTTTCGGATTCGGATCGGATGCAGTGCGCAAACGTCCTTAACCTATAACTCGAATGTGTTGTACAAGTTTTTTCCAGTAGAGGAAACTACACTATTCATAGCTTCAAATAGAAGTAAAATACGCACTCACACCTTTCAAGTTGCGATTTGAAGATATTGTTACTAATACTTTGTGAATTCAATAATAAAACGAAATATTGGCTTTAAAGATTTAATATAAATAATTACAATGTAATTGATTTGTACATATCCATTGATAATAATAATAGAAAATAAATATTTTATATAAATATAATGTCATTTTAGTTTTGTTTTACACATACTGCTAAACTTATAGAATGTCGAAAACAAGAACACAAAATAAAACAATCGAATATAACTAGGTGCCATGATTGATATTAGCTGCTCATACTTTCAATACAATGGTGACAAGAACTAAAATATTGGGTACAATAAATACCGTTCACGTAGAACCTTAATAGCAGTATTTTACTTGTAAATAAAAAACTATATTAAGGAACGTACTTTCGCATCTGAAGAAATAAGGGTGCTTTCAGGCCCAAGCTAGAGGCTGACATCCCCCTTTCTCATGCTAATTACTATAAATTTATTACCAGACATTTATTATGATACATACATACATAATATTTTACATTGTTTATTACATAAATACCTAGTTGAGTAGTTGTAACAATATGTGGCCACAATGATCGTCCAACTATATAATGATAGCAGTTTACCAATGTTCTTAACCATGTACCAATTGTTGCTGTAACTTTGGCACAATTTCCATGATTCACCATTCCTATTTTTCTAAATACAAAATTTAAGTAACACCAGTTTCATTTTTCTTTTTTCTCATTAGTTCTTCGTCAATATTGCTTTCATATTGTTACATCTTAGAATATCATTTTATACATAAAATTATTATTATGATGATCAAACCTCTGTGCCCCTAAATCGCACTTTTCTATGATCATATAAATTCAAAATAACAAGGTAACAAGTACTATTACTCAATAATATCTATTAAATAAGTCAGAATGTAAAATGAGATTTAAATTGTAGACTGGTTAATCGGAAAAGCAGATTCGTAGAGTTTAAGAGAAATATTTCTCGATTATATGAACTATAAATACGTACATTTAATCATTAAAATAGGGAACAGGTTAGATGCAATCTAAGGTTGTATTTAAAGGCCGAAAAGCAAATGGTGCGATATGTTTCGTAGTGCCGATCTGCAAAATAAAAACAACTACAATATAGCCGAATACCAGACACAAATGCTTTAGTTAGACCTAAATATATACCTTGCTTCAAAACACGTTTAAAACTTATTTTGAAAAATTTTATTAATGGCGATCTGCTTTATAGAACTTTAGAATTTTTAATAAGTTACGGTCATATGTAGTGCAGTACATTGGATTCTACCCATACTACCTATGAAACCTACACAAAGAATACGTCAAAGTCAAAAATAATTTACGTGTAGATAACAAAGTTAAATCATATCTTAACTAACTATTCACTTAACTAGCTTAGAACGCTCTATCCCATCGGAAATGGAAAGTTTACGTCATTTCCGTATTTCATTTAGGTTTCGACGATGCTCAAAAAAAGTCTAAGAGGCATTTCTTATAGTGTCTTCCACGTTGTTTTATCTTATATAATTTTAAGCGGCTTCGATACCACGCTAATTCTTCATGGTTGCAGAAAATATCTTACTTGTATATAAGTACCTACTATTCCAGCAGTACTATAGTCACTAATCAGTCATAGAACATACGAATTTCTACTTGCCTATTACAAAAATACGGATCTCCTATCATATTATCTTAATTTGACTTTGATTTATCTAGACTGATTAGGGACCTACACAAAAATTAATACATGTGTATTAACTACTGGACGCAAGCATGTTATCTATAACATGTGTAAGGTTATAATACCCATGTTAATAAGCTAACAACAATAATGAGATTAACTGTCAATCAAAGAAGCGCTGTATGGATACATTAAAAGTTCCCAGCTAATGTGGCAATTGGACTAAAAATATTTTGTCCGTTATACAGTAACTGCGCTTTATATAAATAGGTACTATTATTTTTAAAGTACAATCAAGGATACAAAAATGTAACAAAATATCATCTTGGTTGAATTTCTTTCGACTCTTCACATAAAACTGAAATTGTGCAACAGTTGCTAGCGTGTACTACAGACATTTATTAAATATATGTAGGCATAAAACTAATGGCGAATCGTCGCGAGAGTATAAAAGATACAAAACTGTAGCTCTACTATTACAAAGACAATTTTTAATACCATACCGTTTCGTAGCAATCGATATGCGAGGATATTTAACGCAGTTCAAGTCTTCAGAAATAACTTCAGTTGTATGCTTCAAATATTACTAACTAGTATTTCGAATAGCCGACGTTTTCGCGTGTACCGTAAACATTTTTTTTTATAAATAAACCTATAAAAATATACATTTAATGATGTATTTTAAATTTTATTTAACTTAGTAACACTTTTTCAATAAATTATTATGATATTTCAAAATTATGACATTTTTATTTAAATGATATCTGAACAAAAGCCTAGCCTGGTTACAGAATATCAATGTTCAGTCGACGAGATACGCCTCCAAAAAATGAAGTCAACTGCAACTTTATTATTGCTACTGTAGCTGTAAGTGTCATAATACGTCCAAATTCTTCATCTCGAAAAAGAATTTTGCATCCTGTATACCACTGCCACTTCAATGTACTTAGCAGAATATGTTTATCTCTATACATTTTTCATGCAAGCTTTATATCATAATACGTTATTACATGTTTTGTATAGCTGCGCTGGCGTGAGATTCTGACAATGAAAATAGATACTAAAACAATATTTTAGGAGCACGACATGCATTGTACCCTATAATACCTTAGTGAATTAAAAATGCATGTTGGTCTGTAATATATAATATAAAATATTCAAAACTATTTCCGTCAGACTAGCTTTAAAAATAAATACTTTATTTGTACCCTACAAATCCTATATTAACTTTGAATAAAATTATCGAAAACAGTAATATAATAACAGATGTTTAAAAAATGATACACAAACGCAACCTTGAAAAGAATTCGAACAAAATGCTATTCAGTTCGTATTTGCTCAGGCCAGATTTATAACGCATTGTATTTAATAAACAGACATGCTATTAAGATTATAGGCTATTACTTTATAAATATGCACATTGGTGTGGTAGAGCGCATGTTTGCGTTTAACTTTCGGGTATTCAGCTAAACCCAAAACGTTGATACGTCTACATACAAACGTGCGCTCGTCATAAAAACACCAGTATCCTAAATCACAAATGGTGTAGAACAAGTCGAAAATGAAATAGCACCGAGTAAACACCAAAGTTGTGAATATGCCTAGACATATAAAGCATAGCGTGTTACCGGTGTGAAGCGCAAAGTTTCGAATTTTCCTCCGGTTTACTGGATGACGCAGCATTTGCACTTGGGCTTCTTCTTGATGGTAACATGCTCTGCCTGCTGCGGCTCCTGCGGCAGCGAGCGCTGCACCTCCACTTGACCGGGACGCGCCTCGACCACTGCTGCGCCATTCTTCGTGCCATTCATAGCTTTAGGTGTGCTCTGTTGCACTGGACTCGCCACTTTAGTTTGTGGTGAAGAAGGAGCACTTGTCTGTGAATTCCGTAAAGATCCATATTAACACATATGTTGTCAAATGCCCATGATTAGGTAGTTTAATAAAAATATGACCAAATGATATTATTTCAAAGGTTTTTGTACTCACGTTAAGGTTGTTCACATGAGCTTTCTCCTCTTCGTCACCGGCGAGTTGCGGAGCGGCAGTAGGCGTGGGCGTGATGGGTTTGCCTCCCTTGATTAGCGATACGATTTCATCTGCTTCGCGGCTCAGGTCGCCGTCCGGACGGAATGGGTTGTCCCATCCGCTTTCAGTGCTGAAATTTACAAGTACGTGCGTCAGACATTGGTTAAACAACGCGATTTCAAAAAAGACTTATTACTATATACTTATTATATTTCGTAACGTGGCACTAATAAATAATTAATTTGCATTCTGTGTGGCCTCCTAACTAAACAGGTAAATGGATTTGTTTGATCATACGCATAATAAACAGCGGCGGAAGAGACCACATTGTAATTGTGCAGCAATGTGAAACTAGGTAGGTTTACTTGTATGGACTGCAAACCAAGATAATAATAGGTTGTTTTTTTTATTGGGGCCACACTTTAAGCTCGCAAAATTCATTTCAAATTCGATTATCTGATTGTATTACAGAAATTAAAATACATGAGGGGGACATTAACGTCAAAAATATTTCTGGCAAAAGTGATTGAAACGTGGCGAGGCCGTGGTCATTACCTGATCTGTCTGTTATAGGCGGCGTGATCGGCCATGTCGGCGTTAGCGGCGGCGGATAGCAAGGCCGCGTAGAGGACGTGGGACTCCTGTGGCGCCGGTGGCGGGGACACGCACTGCGGACGAACCCCTTGGTAAAAAGTAACGCGGACTTTCGAACGCTCGGAACTGAAACAATAGACTATGTGTAAATAATCCTGTCATAGAACTAATACGTTATACTGCTACTTTTACAGATACATTCAAAAATCGCATAACCACATTGTGTCTGTACAAAAAAAAGGGGAAACAACATTGGAGATGAGTTATTTGTAAATTTTCAAATTTGATGACATTTATACTGATCTACGCAAAAGCAGATCAAAATAGATAATTTAGATATATAGAATTTTAAAAACAAGGTAATCTTGTTACTGTACAAATGTTAGCAAGCATTCAGTTTGATCAACAGAGGATGATTAAATTAACATTTATTCAAATTGTGTAATACTTCGCCTTGCAGCATGTGTGAGTCACACCTAATATAGAGCCACTGTGCATACTTGATTCTAAGGAGCATCATCTTTTATTAGTGAATGACCATGTTCTTCACCCACACTTGTTTGCAAACTCGAGATTAGTTAAGTGTGCAAAAATTGGTTAAAATGTACTATTTCTTTTTTTTTCTCATAAAATGATAATGGAACTTTTTTATGTAGATTCACTTTAATTATCAAGTCCTAACTTAATAATGCATACACTCAACATAGCTCTGCACTAGGAAAACCCTGTGTCGCGGGTGCCATGGACACACACATAGACAATCACAAATTACACCCAGACTCACGAGAGAAATGAATGTAGGCCACACAAATATTTCTCCCGGCCCGGGAATCGAACCTCGGACCTTTGCGTGGCAGTCCAGCATGGTAACCGTTCAGCCATGGAGGCAGTCAACTAATCATCAAGTAAGCAAATTAATGAAATTGAAGCAACGCCCACATCTTATAAACTTTTACAGCTTGCCACCTGCACTGTGTTAATATCTGACATCACACATTCATAAATAGGCAGCTACATGATTCACAGAATAAGAAAATGGAGAAATATTGTTCCATAACATCACTGACCAAGATTCAAGGTCATGATCGGAGGGTACCAGGGTTATAACAATGTTTGTAGTGTTTTGCATGGTAAACATATTAGTGACTAATTCATTTATTTTTATTTATGTTTATGTTGGTTCTTACATCAACATTATATTTGATTCTGTTGGGTTCATTATGTCATTCATTTATAATGAAATTACTATGTTTCAAAAGATCACTTCCCATTCTCATTGACTATATGCCAAACTGCAATAATATTAACTTGTGAACACAGTGTTCTCGTTTCAGGTTCAGTACTGTTAAAATAAACTAGAACCACAAACAGACGCACAGCAGTGACTAAAGTATCTAACTAAATATGTATGTACTAGAAAGTACATAATAGCATAGCAGCAACATTGATTCAATGAGCTACGGTTAGAGATCAAATAGTCGTCTAATTATGTTCATTGCATCAATGATAGATTTCAATTCTGTTTGGCAAATGGCTCCATTGCTGGGTAATTAATTGACATCACAGTTTATGTCCTTAGCAGCAAACTAGGTAACCGTTAAAGCTAACATCGCATCACTGCGACAAAATTCAACCATTTATAGGTATCCAAGCCAAAACAGTCTTCAGGGGATTTGTGTCGAAACATTGGAACTGATTGGAAATTGTGGACATTGACAAAGCATATTAAATTTATTAAGTTAATCAGACTAGGAGTTCAATTACAGGGAGTGTTAATCCACAGCAGCTAACAATCAGTGTACGCTAGGTGCGGTCAGTCTCCGAAATGTTCGAGGCATACAGGGCGCCGCCGCCGCCGCAGGGCGGGTCTATCTACCACCGTTGACTATCAATGATAGCAATAACAAAAATAGAAGTTCCATAACGTTTGCCAATGCCTGTTTACTATGTGTACGTGCCGAGTAGTGACCTTGTGCTCCCGCCTTTTAGATGGAACTGAAAGTCGTTTTATGTTTATAAATCAGTCCTCATGACGTCATGCTGACCGAATTCTCCGCACTATAAAACTTGCAAAACTGAAAGAGCAATTCGATATGGCTTAATACATGACCGCAACGAAATAACTATCCGGCCAAACCATTATACTATCGCTAAAAATTACACATTTTGCGAATTCACGACATAAAATCTTAAATTAATCAACAGCAACAGGATCAAGAGAGCCAAGAATGACGTACCTTAGATATTTATCACTGCCAACGTAATGAAAGATTATCACTGCGCACTATGGTTATTGTGAAATGTTAAAATAACAAACAAGAGATAATAAATAAAATAACAGTCGAGTACGCGCTATGGAGTTAAGTTTGGTTCGTGTAACGCTTCGCGACGTTCCTCACAACATCGATCTCGGAACTCTGAGGCGCGCGGCTGAGTGAATGGAATGGAACGAACATGCACGAATACAAACACACCGAACGAACAAAGTGAAGACAGCGCAGCGGGCGGACACGACGAACGAACACAGTACTCTAATAATCGGGCGGCGTTCTTGGTGCGATAGTGATGCCGATATCGAATTCTAGTCAGTCACGTGTTGCTATAACGCGTATCTTATACTAGGTACGATATGTGTTATGGACAATAAAAAAGTCTGCAATTAGCATGAGTCTCCCTCAAAGTTCAATTCTAGGCCCATTTTTGTTTTTAGTTTATATTAATGACTTACCTAGCCTCATGGAGGATATACAACATGAGATAGTATTGTTTGCTGGATGATACTTCCTTATTATTTAAAGTTAAAAGGCACCAATGTTTCTACGACGATGTGAACAATGCTATATTTAAAGTAGTTGATTGGTTTGCTGTTAAATCCGTGGTAGTAACCCGTTTAGCTCATAAATGTAGTCTGGGTCTCTGATGTTTCAAAACAAACAGAAAAACGTATTGTAAATGTTGAATGTGTACTAATGTTATTTATAAAGAGCAACCTCTAGAGTTTCTTGCTCTCTTGCTATATGAAATAAAGATTATTTTGTTTTTGATTTTTTTATTTTTTTAATAGGTCTGATAATAGGCACGCAATTTCATATGAATATAAGCTAATACATATAGTATTTTGTATTTGAAGGTAAGTAAAAATAATTTTATAAATGTATATTTCATAGACATCTCAAGATTGTTTACATTTTTTATTTAAGTACCTAAACAAATGGACTATAGGGTAGGTAAGTGGTAGGGGAAAATCCATTGCATATCCCACTTTATTCTACTATTTATATTGTAGGTATTATTTTATGGAACAAAATACTGAGAGCTAAAAGAGACATAAAAACCCCATATGAAACCGTGAATGAAACACTGCCTTTAGTGGTCCTGTAAATGGAAATTTCTTTATTGTGACTGATTCTATGTGTACCGGTTACAGAAAAAAAAGGGTGGGGCTGTGATGCCTGGACGCACTACAGTAGGTTTAACGGAAATGTTGATCGAACATTCTTTCGTTACCTATCTGTTTCGTTATGTTACGATTCAGATTTCCACCATGATACCCGTATGTTTCTTTTTGAATTGTATTTGCATTTTACGTCATCATCTTCAATTTTTTAAACATTCTACTATTGGGCACGGGTGGAGAGCGATAGTGAGAGGGCCACAGTCCTCTACATTGGCTCAATGCGGGCTGGATAATGAAACAATCGGAAGGTTTTCCAAGGGTAGTGAACCTTCCTCAAATTGTACGTTTCATGTCGATATTTTTCTTCAAAGTTACTTTGTTAGTTATTTTGTTACATAAAATAATAAACAAAAATTGTAAGGGAAACAAACTTTGAGACTTTGGAAAAATCGTGGGATTAGAATATGAAGAAAATTATCCTTTTGTGGAGCAAAATAAAGGGCCATGGTCACACGACTGATTTAATAATAGAGTAGGTAGAGCCTAACTTCGGGTAAGTTCTGTAACAAAAGAAATTTCTAAAAAGTGTTCCTTCTATTTTATTAAATAACCGACGATAATTACCGAGTAGGTAAGGTCAAGCAAGGCAAAAATATTCTGCACTTAACTGGCATTTGATATTTGTATTCCTTAAAAAATGCGATAGGCAATGACGAAAATGTTAAAATCTAAAATAGAAGACATCCATCCTAAATCAATAAATATGCAGGAATAGGTATTTTCATATAAATTACTTCTACAAAGTACACACATTAAAATTGTCCAGGGAGAAACAAGTTTTTGTCAATTACTGAAAATCAGGTTTCTTACGAGTAATTACCTAATTTTTTAGTTAATTTTATAATTTATATTTCAAAATGAAATTGACTAAAAAATCCATTGGTGCCAAAAAAATTAATTCAAAACGTGATTCTTAGTAATTATCAAAAACTTGCTTGATCCCTAGGCACTTATGTTGTGTGTATTTTAGAAATATTTTGTAATGATCTTTCTCCTACTAGCCTGTTAATAGGTAATTAACCTGAGTTATGTCATAAATGTTAATTAATCGTTTACGTCACTATCACAAAGCATATATTGTAGTATAATGGTGACAAATCGACAAATCGTTACTAAAAGAATACGTACTCAAGACATTCGATCAACAACTATATCGAAGGCAACACGTAATTAGATTCTTTCAAGACAGCATTAGCTAGTTAGCATTTAGTGTGGCGCGAAATTATGAACGAGAAATGTTTGATAAATTCATTTTTTTATAATTTTCTTTCAATAATTGCAAGATATGGACGTGGTGTCAACGTATAACCAACGTTATGTTGTATACGTACTCATCTTCAGCCAGCGTATACGGAAACGTGGTTTCCTGGAGTTGGGGCGGGGGGCTGGTCTCAGGTTCCTCTTGAAGCGGGCTCTCGTAAATCAACGTCTCCACCATAGATCCCTTAGAGCTGCCGAATGATACTCTGATGAAAAAAGATAACTGCTTTAGAAAACAGATGATGCAACAATTTAATGAAGTCATTTTAAGTGTACTTATTTTTATTTTTTTATAACATTAAGTGACGGGACGAATAAGTCGTGCGCCTGATGGTAAGCTACACCTATCCATAACAGTTACAGTGCCACTCAGAGCTTTAAATTGCAAAAATCTGAGGGGCACTACCACTGCGCCAGTCACCCTGAGACATAAGTTGACAAGTCCTATGTGCCTGTAATTTCAACAGCAACCTTACCCTTCGAAACTGGAACACAGTAATGTCGACATTACTGCTTGACGGCAGAAATAGGTAAGGTGACAGTACTACACTGGACGAACTCTTTCACAAGAAGCTCTACTGCTATTAAAAAGGAAATAACAAAAATACTTAATCATAAGAGAACACCTAGAATGATATTGTTTATTTCCTTTCCAACTTTACATTAAATAAATAGTTAAGAGAGAAGGTATTCATCGAATAACTTCATATAGCTTAGTTACTTTTTGCATATATTGTCAAACAATTCAAATCAATAATAAATTATTTTACTTGTCTACAAATAAAACGAAGATATGCATGAAATACCTACAACCAATTATTGATGGACAACGATATCTATATGTAGTAGCGTTTGATAAAGGTATTCTTGCAGTTTAGTTGGTGAAATTATATTTGTAATGAATAAGTTTGTAACAACATTCGGAATATATTTTTCTTTGGTAGTATGAGTATAAGTACCTGTAATATACTTTAAATGGAGAGTCGCACGTAACATAATCTATATAACTATTTGCGAGACATATTGATCGAGCTCGGAACGAGCCGCCTTTGTTCATGGCTCTCAATAGATCAAGATAAACTCCCATCAGATACCATTTAAACATTTTTTTGTAAATAAACCAGATTATCGGCTAAGTATTCACCCTGCGCAGTGCGCAGTATAGGATACAAATCGACGCCTTACTTTCTCAAACTCGTATCTTATAAAGAGTGATTATTAAATAAATAAATAATAAATAACGCACACACTCAACATAGCCCCGCACTAGGGAAACCCTGTGTCGCGGGTGCCATGGACACACACATAGACAACCACAAATTACACCCAATCTCACGAGAGAAATAAATGTAAGCCATACAAACATTTCTCCCGGCCCGGGAATCGAACCTGGGACCTCGGCGTGGCAGTCACGGAGGCAGTATTCAGGAGGTGGTAAAACTTTCTATGTATTTTAAATTTCTTATCAAGGGGGTCAATTTGGATGCATTAATTTAAGAATAGGTAAAAGTGTGTGTGTGCTAGTGTGTGAATATGAAGGAAATGGGCTGTGAAATCAGCCTGCAAAATTTGTATATGCAATCCATGTTTTGCATTTCAGTAACTTTGTGCTTTAAGATACGAGTTTGAGAAAGTAAGGCGACGAAATGTGTAAATTGTTGTAATAAAAGTTTACAAATAGTTCTCGACCAGCAGATAAATCATACTTCCAAACTTCATGGTTTTTATCTATTCAAATGATGATAAGATTGTCATTTGAGTTCTGATTGCGATTTTTAAACTGACACTGGCACAAGCCTATAGGAAATAATAATTATGTATGTAATGGATTTTTATTTGTTGCGTGCAATCAGCTATTTTCATCAACAATTAACTTACAACGGCAAATATTTACTAGATTTACATTTCACATCAAATTCTACTTTGTTTTAATAATAACTGAGAGTTGTAAATAAGGTGAGTGTAATAAATAGATGCAATCTATTAAAGCAAGTCAGTACACAATAGTATAATAACATAGCAAGTAAATTTAGTTGCACAGACAATACAATAATTTCAGTAATAACTAATAGAACTGAATACTAAAATGTATTATTATAATTATGTAATATTAGTTGTAAAAAAATCAAAACTTCTTAAGTACCTAAGTACTAATAGGTATTAAATAAGTAACTTAGTTAATCCAGTTACAGTTCCGTTTGTCAAACATTTATTGCCTGCTCTAGAATTATTAACAATAAGCAATGGACTTTCTAATCGACCGAATTACGTCCTTCTAAGGTGTCAGTGATGGTCACGTTCAAACTTTTACATTTCGCTTTAACTACATAGATCCGTATTTGTATTAAGAAGCTACTTAACAGTCTCGACAATGTTTGACCTACTTTAACTACAAAAGTCTTCTAGCATTCTTTCGCTGGCTGCGCGTTGATCTATGTGACGTCGCTCAGACTAGTGAAGAAACACTCAGTAGATAGGTAATATAAAAAAGTAACTAGGTTAGCAGTGGGTGCCTTCGTAATAACTTAGTTTTCTAACATAGAACAATTATATAAAACCTTCTCCGTGACAAATTTTGTTCCATTTATTGAAATTTTTTCTTGGTAGTGTATTGGAAATTTTTAAGTAGGTATAGGTATATTATTGTATACTCGAATACTCGTTTATACTTAATATGGATTTAAACATCATTATTCTTCAGTGTAACAAGTAGTACACTTAGGCATCGAATTACGCGCATGGATTTGATTATAATGTAATTAGTATATTATAATAGGATGGTTTCCGTAACTCCTAAGGTTCCTAAAGAATATGGACATTGATACAGTCAATCTGCTTAAGCTTGGTACTCAAAAACAGGTACAGAACATGGCGAAAGAAGGCGGAGTGCAGAAGTACGATCCTAACACAGAAGCGTTCCAGATGCGAGCGCAGTGGAAAAAGGCTGAAATTTGCCGTAAGCAATGGTACGAACGATGGAGCTGGCTACTCGACGAGAGCAAGTAAGAATAATCAGTAGAGGTTATTGAAGTAAATGTGTTATCAAGTGAGTTAATGTACATCCGTACCATATTTCAGTAAAGCGACGGAAGAAGCAAACATAATTCGCCGCAAAGCCGCCGCTGCCGGAACTCTTCCTGTAGCGCACTTAGATGTCACCGAAACGAAAACGTTAAAGCCAGTGCCTGTTACAACCACAGGCTTAATTGGGTGGCTGGCATCAAAGTTCGTAGTCGATCATTTTACATATTTATCTTTAGCTCGCGATTTTGTAACACTATAGAAGTCGGTAATAGCCCCGTAAATACGAAGTGCATACTCAACAAGGACAAAGATGAGTGGGTAACACATTACAAGTATAGTACATTTAGAATAGAATAGAATAGAATATAATAGAATACGTTTATTTGCCAGAATACAGTATATATACAGATCTTGAATAAAATTAGATACATTGTATTCAACCTGCATGCAGGTGTGGAAATGTTAATGGTATTTCACATTTTTCTGTACCATTACAAAGCAATTTGCACTTCGAATTAATATCAATTGGTATTTGTAACTACTAAATATTCTTTGTTACTTTAAAAGCAATGTGTCAAAGGCCATTTTGCCAATTGTGATTTAAAAGTAAAATCTTGTAGTGATTTAATTACATTAGATAAATTATTAATAATCTCGGTACATTGTACCTACTAAAAAAACCGACCTCAAAAGTACGTGGAATTACGTCTATTTGCCAAGTTATATTGAAATATCCCCTAGTTCGCCACTATACAGGACTTGACACAGGGATAATAAAAATCGGTTCTCATTACTCAAAGTATATTGAGAGAAAAACGCCTTGAATTGGAGAATAGCAAAAGCAACCATTAAAATAATTGCTCCTTAAGTAAAATATAGGCGCTATTTATAAAAATGAATCTTCATGCGTGAACAGTTACCCTTAGAGATGGATGATTTTCTTCAAAATGAAATGGGACCACTATGGAGGTAGGTACCCTCTTTCCAACAAAAAAAGAATCATGAAAATCGGTTCACAAATACCGGAGTTATCGCGTAACATACATACAAAAAAAACAAGGTCGACTTAAGAACCTCCTCCTTTTTTGAAGTCGGTTAAAAAGTCTTATAAATTATATTGAAGCAGTTATACTACAAATTTTCTAGTATGATCCCTGTGACACTTCATTTGATGTTTTCACAGGGATGAGGTAAAGTCGATAGATTTTTGAAGCAAAGGTTCTCTCTTATACAGCCAGGGATCGTCCTAGAAAATTTGTAGTATACTCTTATAAACGAGGTTATGTCAATTTCTTTTCATTTTAAATAATCTTTGATGTCATATATACACAGATCACATAACAAGTCAAATAATTTATTTTTAAATATGTTTAAGCGCAGCAGACAAGACATTACATATATTTATGGACATATTATAGCAGTTCCTAGACAAGCAAGTAGTGTTTTGGGAGGGGCCAGTCGAGCGGTTTGACTATCGAGTTAAAAAAGTACATACTTCACGTTTCACAAACATGCATACTTCAAATACGTAATTTAATTGTCTTTTTCTGATGGGGCAAAAATTACCTATACTTGTAGCTAACCCCATACTGTAAGCAGAGAGATAAATCGTTGTTTCCGCAAATCCGAAACAAATAAAACCGTCTTGCTTATTGCGAATGACGGACCTATGTATATCACCACCGTTACATACAATTTACATAATTGTACTATCTGAGTTCAATGGAGAAGTCAACAAGTCGCATTTAACCCTATTAACAAGTTATTTTTTAGATAGGTTTTTGGTATTATATAGGATAGATAGATAGATTTAGGTAGGTTTTTGAGCGAGGTAAAGAGTGCAATTGACTATAGAAACACTGTATAGATATTTGAGATCACAAGCAGTTTTAAGTTATTCAAGTAAGCAGTTAAGTTAAAACTTAAATTAAAATAAAAACGATACAAACACTGTACTCCAAAAAGTCAATAAAGTCTCAACAACTCGTTGAGACCAATTTAACGAGCCCAAATACGATAGTTCCACTGTAAGTAGTTGAGGAATTGGGTAGTCTGCAGACTGTCCTGCTTGCAGCGTCAGATCAAAGTTACTATAGTCTTGTAATGTCATCGAATTTCCATAGACAATCGTCATCAACATCAAACTTAAGAGTTATATATACTCTTGTCCGTGGAGCATCTTCCAGTCATCTCTTTTATAAGCCAGCTCCTTGGCCTCCTTATACGACACGACACCGACCATTAGTTGGTCTGTGTAGCAACGCCTTGGTCGACCTCTTCCATAGACAAGTGAAAGTAAAATGAATATTCAAATGACTGAGATCCATACACTAAATCTTAATTTCCCAAAGTGGTGGGAGGCGGTAGGAGCCTTGGAAGCAATTAGGGGCGTTGCTGCTGTCGCAGCGGGTGCTACCGCATTCGAAATAAAAAAACCCGAATTATCTATATAAACTACACTACATTTTTATCTTGTGACCCATTTAAAACAGCTGTGTGTTGTTCGATGTTCATCCAACATTATCTAAGAACCATCCGATAAAATTAGCCTTCAAATAAGAAGAAAATCGTTCTGAGATCAGACCCTCCGTTCGTGCGCCTGTTAGTAAGCTACCTAAACGCCTATCCATAGCAGTTGCAGTGCCACTCAGAGCTTTAAAACGCAAAGCTCCGAAGGGCACTGCCACTGCGCCCGTCACCCTGAGACATAAATAAGTTGACAAGTCTCATGTGCCTGTAATTTCACCAGCACCCTTACTCTTCAAAACCGGAACTGTGTACTGTGTGCTATTGACAGTTATGAAAGGTTTAAAGATTGTATGAACAAAATTAGTCAATATATTTCTTAAATTTGAATGAGAGATTTATAAAATATTAGTATTATACATATTAATTTGTTTCACATTGTTCGTGTTATTTTTACGACTGTCATGTTATAAAATCTGTTTCGACGTATGTTCACATGTGGCTGTATTAGGAGAGATAGAGGGGGGGGGGGAAGAGAGAGAGAGAGAGAGGAGAGATTATGATTTATACTTTTAATTACCAAAATAAGTTAATATTTAAAGTGCTCTATCTATAGGTATACTAATTGTATACATTGACTTACAAATAAATGGACGAGGGGTCTAATACAAAAACCACGAAAAAAATGTCCAAAGTCAACCTATTTAAACGTAGTGACATGTAAAGGAATATGACAAAGCTAAAACATTGAATTTTAATTGTAATGTCATCGCCGTAATGTCTAATTTTGCTTGCAACAACTGAAAGGCGCAAAAAAACACCATATTCAGCTTCTACTGGAAACTTACCAAAAGGTACCATATGTAGCTTCTAGTGACAAGTACTTGAACACAGGTATAATGGAGTAGCCTTTATTATTTATAAATAAATTTTATACGTAAGTGTTGAATTTTATACAATGCCATTAATTACGAGCTAGGGTGTCTGATATTTTTTTGAGTTATTCGAGATTTTTTTTAAAAACCGTAAAAAATCAGCTCAGTCAACTATAAAACTAAATGTGAACTTTTCGAAAGTTGTTTTGGCCTGGGTGTTCTGAGTTGTGCCCGGAAATAAATTCCATCGTTCTTGGTCCCAGGTTCGATTCCCGGTAGAACGAATTTGGGAAATGAACTTTTGTAAATTGGTTCTGCTCTGGGATTCTGTTGCTCTGATACTTACAGACACAGAGAGTTCCCTAGTCTCAGACCAGGTAATTGTCTTACAATAGAATGCCAAGACCAGAACCATTTAGAAAAGTTAATTTGTTAAATTGATCTTACCGGTATCAAACCCGGGAACTTCTCATCCAATGCCCACAGTGCAAGCCTTTAGGCTATCAAGGTTGTACTATTTGTATTATTATGCATTATTTGCATGTGAAAGCTACAAATTGCTTAAACTTTAAAAAAACCTATTTAATTTGCAGTGTCAGTCTGCTTTAATTACCTTCTTTGTTTATTAAGTTGGTATGTTTTGTCATTCATCCAACTTTTGATTTTTAATGCATTTTGGCAGTGAAAGATGTTCTCTGTTAATACTTGTCACTTTCTCCTTAAGTTCAAGCTATGTTTACTGGATAAATTCCTGTATTCTCTCCTTTCTATGCACAGTTCACTCATTGATGTAATCACATACCAAAACTTTAATATAATGGTCTTTTATCAAGCTTGCATCAGCTCTGGTTTCTTTTCTTTTCTTACCATTTTCTTAACCCGTTCGTGCATAGTACTGAAAATATATTGCGCTCAAAAACGTCACCACTTTTCTATATGCCGTAGTGCTTACATTGATTCAATAAAATTATTACGGTTTATCACTGATGACGGTTTTTAACATAACCCCATAAAAAATAATGCAGCGGTGTTAAATCACATAATTGAGCTGGACACATAACGGCTACTTTTCGTGAAATTATGCGATCGGGAAATTTGGTTTGCAATAAATTCATTGTTTCGGTGTCTGTGTGACTTGAGCTGGCCACATAACGGCTGTATTTCGTGAAATTATGCGATCGGGAAATTTGGTTTGCTATAAATTCATTGTTTCGGTGGCTGTGTGTCTTGTGCCGTTGGCATTGGGCCGTTTGTTTTTCGAAAATTCGGCTGGAAATGCGGTTGTGGTAGATATGCGTAATATAGCTTTTTCTGAATATCTAATCGAAAATATACATGGATATTCGAAATCGGATTTCGAAACTATATATTTTCTGAAACTATATACTCTTGAATGCAGCCGGAGTGCGCGCTGCGTTGATACATTGCCGTTACTGGTATTCGGAATCAGATTTCGAGTTTCAGATTTCAGAGTCTATACGGAGCCAATCGAGTCGCTTTTAGCCTTAAAACGTCGTTGTGCTTTTTCTTAATGCTTTTTACTTATGCTTTTTAGTTTGAAGCTTACAAAATCGTTATGAAAAACGTTTAAGCACATAGACTTTTATGTAAAAAAAAAATTGCAACGTTGTATTGATACAGAAAAGCAAAGCAGTAAGTTTGTTTGTAAAACACGAGTTCATTTTTAATTATAAAATTATTATTCGCATTGATGAATTAATTTGCTTCGGAAACATAGATAGCGGGACTTGAAACATAAGCACTTGTTGATGCTTACCCTTAAATTCAAAACCGAGCGAATGTGCTTATTTTAAAAAGCAAACTTTTAAAAGTTATTTTCATTTAAACGCCCACGTCTAACCATGATACCCTAAATGTTTCTCAAATTATTTATTGGCCTGTGTAATGTCTATGTATATAGGTAGGCCAATAAATTATTTGCTTTGTATTCTGATACGTAATGATTACCTACTTAGCGGGCTCGTGTACAATATACAAAATAATGCGTAATTACCTACATTTATACCTACTTGTGCAATTCTTTATGATTATTATCAGTTTCTTAACGTTTGTTTCACGTTAGCGATTTTATAGTATTTGTCAACATCACTTATGACTAATTTGAAGCTACAGCGTGCCATAACATAAAAATTAATATGTATGTAATTATTCATATTTGTTCGCAGGCCTGAATGTAAACTAGAAATCTACACTAAATGGAATGAAAAAATACCTGTCCGCTTGCCAGACGCTTGGGAATACGCAGATTATGTAGTTTCACCCAGTAAATAAAATAACAACCCTTCTAAACAAAGAGAAAATACTGAAAAATACTCTCGTATATATACCGCGGTAGTATTTTTGTGAAAACAGATTTTACATAATCCAATAAATTCGTAAGTATCAATATTAAGTCAGTATCATTTTTCACTTTATGACCCTATAATAATATGTTGATGTGTATACATATACCAACGTACCAGCTCGGGAAAAATCACTACTATACAAAGAAAGTACGCGGGCTCAGAAAGTTTTGTGAAACTAAAAAAATGTTCAAAGGAGTATATTTTTCTTTATTAAATCTTTTGAAAGACCTCTCTACCACTGTCTACGCATAGTTTCGTGCGTCTGGACCAATTACCGAAACACAATAGAAAAAAATCAGTCCGCCTTAGACGCCTCTTTTACGGGCTCTTGGAACGCAACTAGCGCATCTTCCAACTATGAAAATTGGTACCCCGTTGAGTTATTTTTGTTTGTTGAGAAATACATATAATGAAGTCACACGGCGCCAAATCAGGGCTGTAAGGAGGGTGACCCAAAAGTTTACCCGGTGTACTGTAGTTCGTCGTTTTCAGCGCCGAGTGCACGGGCGCGTTGTCATGGTGGAGCAGTAGCTCGTGTTCAGTTGCATATTATTTAACTTAGTGAACTTTTCTGGCATATATTTGGTAGTATACTATTCGGCATTAATATTGCTTTGATTTCATTAAGGAGTTGACAAAAGATACCCGGTAAAAACAAAAAAGTAAGTATCGGTGAGATGTGTCCAGCGCGAAACTATCCTCCTCCGGTGAGAATGCTCGTGTAGAATATTATGAACACTTCCCGATCCGATATGAAATATGTGTTGAATCTCTTCATATGTGATTCGTCTATTCTCCACAATTATTTTTGTACTGCTAAAACGTGTCTTTCCGTAACAGGCGTCAAGGGCGACCACTTTCTTCTTCATCCCTCAAAGTTAGTCGACCGCGCTTAAATTCATGGTACCAACAGTAGGTACACGGTTCACTTGAAAGGGCTTTTATCTGGAAACTCTATCTATCAATCGTCCGGTTTTAGGCGACATTTAAAAATCGTAAAAAATACTCGAAAATGTTCCCGACACAGACACATTTTTCAATCAGACACTATGTTTCAAATTAGTTCGTGAAAAATTGTAAAGGGAAATTTGAAATTGAAACATTCGGATTTTTTATTGTAAATAAACTTATTTTTACGCAAAATTTTCTGATTGCCCTGGTACAAACCTCTGATTTTAGGTTCATTTGAATATAATTATTTTGTATTGAACTATGTATTTTAATAAAATCAATGTTGTATTGGTATATTGTTCTCTCCCATTAAGTAAATTAGTTTAATACTTATTATTATTGGCGAAATTTCTTTGACTAAATGTAGATATTTCTCGACTAGGAGTTATCTAGTTGCTACAGCCAACAAATGTCCCATGACACAACACTTTTACACGATTATACGTCCTTAAAGACGACGTTTAAAATTAGATCATTAAATGTTTCGGAAAGAAGTAGGTAGGTACGTAGCTATTAATCTAACGAGTATGTTCCGCAGTTAACGGTAGGATAACGACAGTGACACATTCTGCAATTCGCAGGTACACGCCAACGCAACATGAGATTCCATGCTAGGTATAGGTTTTTCTGTTAATGTTCGTACTTAATTTACCTTTTCAAGGTCGTGTGCTTGGTGCCATTGCTGAGCAGCTTATGTTTAGGCTTGTCAAGCGCCCCCGTCGGAGTCGAGGAGGAGACTGTGAGGTCGCTCGCGAACGAACTGGTTGACGACTCCTTGGAGATGTTGGATTTGATCCGACGCGCTGTGGCCTCGGGGCTACCCGGTGAACTCACCAGCTCGAGCGCCAACCGTCCCTTGCCCGGCACTGGAGGAGGCTTCTCCTCGACAGGCACCATGTAAGACAGCATGGCTGTCTACTTCTTACTACTCTACACCATCAAATCAACAGTCTTTACTTTACGTATACACATTTACCAATATTGGCCATTGTAATATCTTTGAATAAAATACAATGATATCAGCCTATCACTCACTATTTCTTCAATGTCTCAGTCGTCGTCAGTTGAGACCTGTAAGATAAAAAATATAAACGTAAACAGTTGTAAAAGTGATACGATAAGATAAAACGTTACTATAATATTTAGGTAAGTAAAGTAAATATTCAAAACGCAAGCCTTTGAGCCTATTATTACGAGTGTAGTCATGTTACAACGCTTTAACTCATACTTCTCACACACATAAATCTATCACATACAAAACTAAAATTAAATACGATCGAATTTCAAGTAGCATAATTTAAATTGTGCTACCGACTTTCGTGCTGTGTGCAAGCCTATTAATGGCAGTTAGCCTTTTATCATTTCTATAATCCTAGCGAAATTCATGACAACGAGTCCACGACTCGGTTCGACGTCAACTATCTGTGAAAAATAGGTAAAAACGTTTTTAACAAACTAACGACGACTTTTTCTAAATTGCGAATAAAGAAAAGAGAAAAACATCGTTGTAGTAGATAGTAATATTTTTATTACGCTTTGGCCTTGACTAAATTTTACCTTCACCTTAAAATTATTTACGGATCGCGAACCGATTTTCCACGTGTCTGAATGAATGATCCCAATCTGAATGAATACTTGTAGTCTTATATACGTGAACGCGATGACATGGTGGCTACTTTTTACCTTTGGAATATATACCTCTGTTTTAGGTATGTGGTCATATGTGGTCAATGCCATAATCATCAACAACTGTGTAAACCATTAAAGAAATTATATGCGCAATTCATATCTGAATGAGAAATGTTTTTGTCTATAACTTGTTTCAATTCTAACGGCCTGCAGCGGATATGCACTATTTGGTCTTCATCAAGATTGTTTCACATAATGCCTTTGCCAAGGTCGAACTGGGATTACTTACATAAACATAACACACACCTATAGCCAATATCTACATGTTCTATTCTGGGAGTTATCGTAAACACGCATGTAGATGTAGATATTTTCGTGTTATACATCATATATTTCCAATCACTATAACATTCTGCTGTTATGATGTCCAGAGGTTATTATTGCGTCTGATGTCACCTTTTAGTGCGGTGGTAGGTACAGGTAGGTAAATATATCCAATTAAGTAGTAATTTTGGACGTATTAGGATTCTGGCATCTGTGTCGTTTAAGATCTAATGTACGTACGAATCTATTTAGGTACCTAGGTAGAAACGTTTTACCAGTTATCGTGTTCTCTATTTTACAATTTCTGAAAATGAAGCATGTAGCTAAACAGTGCAATGATTTCTCAAAAAAAAACAACAGTGGATTTTAGAGAAAACAATAGTGGATTTTAAAGATCATTAGAACCTTTTCTTTCTTATATGTATAGAAAATATTTAACAAAAAATAATTATAGTTTCTCATTCCTACTTAAAAGACCATTTCAAGATACTATAAACTAGTCATATAACAAGATTCAAATTATATCTAGATAATATTGACATTATTTACCTCGTCTCAAGAGCGTAGCCAAGAGGCTATTGAGAGAGGGTATTAATAAAGCAGAATTCATCTGTCACCTGAATTTTCCACACAAAGTAATCTCTAGGCTATTGAATAGGCTATTAATAAAGCAGAACTCATCTGTCACCAGGGTTTTCCACACTAGCATGTGAAAAATCGTGCACGTGCAAATTGCAGAGAATATACCGAGCTCAAGAAGAACACCTGTGTATACCTATAATGCCTGTGGAAACAAGTTTAGTGACTAAAGTGAAGTGTGGGATGGGAATAGGATAATAATAAAAACGCAGAAAGAAAAGGTCAGTCGTCGCAGTGAACCAAACCTAACGAGAGAGTTAATTAGAAGCACCCGCGTAGTTGGCGTGGCGTTGCAGACTGTTTCTCATCGTGGATAACGATTGTATAAACAGGTACAGCCATCTACAACCCATCCTCCTTACTTTAATTAGATCATTTGATAAAAGGGTTTGAGCCGTTTGACCACGTTGCTGTACGCCATTATGATATATTTTGTTATCGCCATTATGATAAAACCCTTTTCGAAATAGCGCCTTGTATGCACATATTGTATTGATGTGATAAATATATAGCTACACTGGTGTTAAAATATTCCATCCTTTTCTGGTACACTTTTATAACTAATATTATAATTCATATTCATTACTATGAAACAACAATTCTTATTTGTTTTAACACCATCTACCATGTATATAGAATGGCTACTTACAAATCAACCCAAAAAAAATTATTTTAAATTACTACTCAATGTATCATTTTCAAATATGTAAAACGAAATGGAAAGAAAAAACGAAAGTATGTACAAATAATAATAATTAATAACGCACACACTCAACATAATTCTGCACTAGAGAAACCCTATGTCGTGGGTGCCATGAACACACACAATATGAACAACCACAAATTACAACCAAACTCACGAGAAAAATAAATGTAGGCCATACAAATATTTCTCCCGGCCCGGGAATCGAACCTGGGACCTCTGCGTAACCGTTCGGCCACGGTAGTAAGCCAAACTCGATGGTAAAAGATTTTTTTGGTGCCCTATCGTTCTGAACTAATTCAGACCGATAGAGAATACATTTTACAGAAAACATGAACCAAAATTGCAACGTTTAAAATTTTTGATAAAAATAATGAACATTTTTCAGTGTTTAGATAAAATAGTCATTGCACGTCGTGTTAGGTAAAAATCCCTCGTTGATTCGTCAGTTTTACTTGTACTTGGCTAGTTTTATTTAAATGATAAAAAAATCTATTTCTGCTTTCCACGTACGTATTTCAAATAACAAAAATCTAAAGATAACAGCATATAAACATGTTTAAATAAACTAAGTATATACGTGTAAGTAAACGCTGTACATTTAGACGTTAATTGTTTTTACAACAATACGTCGCCGTTGAGGTCTTTTGTACGGTACTTCTGACGTAGACCTTACTGAATTTTGAACTCAACCTATCCTATTCACTCATGAGGTATATGAGTTGAAGAGGGTAGATTGAATCTAATTTGCCTACCTAACATCTCTAAAAGTGATGCTACAAACCATTGAAGGTTACGGCTACACGTAATTTGGAAGATAAGGAAAATGGTCGCAATGAAATGACTATTATCAAGGTCGGAACACAGTGCATTAGGAGTAGGTAAATAATATTAATATGTTTGTTACCTAGTTCCACTTACCCACTCTTATTTCGCTTTCGTAAATCGTATTCCTCGTTTTCTAAATCTTGCACTAAAGTTTTTCACTTACCAGTATCCCGTGTCTTGATGTTTCAAAAAAGTTTCTAATTTCCCGCTTTGTTTGTACTTGTTACATGTGACAAATTTTCACACAGAAGACAAACTTTACAAATACATCTATAATTATTATAACGGTACATAATGTAGTTATGATTTACCTTAAACAATGCTAAGTATTTTTTATTCTAGTAACAAGTAGTAGGTTTTAATCATCGATGGTAATGAATTGTTTTAACTATTCATGGAAAGCAAAAAGTATACAATTTGTGATGAATATGTAGCTTGAATATTGAAATATGCTTGCAAGTAAATACTTTGAACAATTACGTATCGACTTTGTTCAGTTTTATATTTCATTCTTATTTCTAGTCGTAGCTTCGAATACATAAGCATACATACACAGGACGCACTGTAAGTTTCCGGAACTGGCCACTTACATAAACAATATTGGAAAAAGTAATTAGAACATTTGAAAATGGAACTTTTTGGTTGTAGAAGTTTGTTTCATCTAACTGTACTTGTTTTTAAATTGTGGCGTCATTTTAGAAATTTGTTGTCTACATCACCATGGATTTAACTCGTGAAAATTTTCGTAGAATGATTTTCTATGACTTTCGACTTTCGCTCTGTTTCAAACTGCTTTTGGCGATGAAGCACCATGCGAGACGATTATTTATAGCTGGTTTGCAGAATTCAGAAGCGGTCGTTCGAATCTCAGTAACGAATTTCGGGAGATCGCCCGTCCACTGCTGTGAATAACAAAAACATCGATGCTGTGCGCCGTATTATCAAAACAGACAGGCATGTGACATACCATGAGATTCGGGCATCTTTAGGCATAGGCATGAGTCAAATACAATCAATACTAAGTATACAAACATTTGAGTGTGAAAAAGCTGTGCTCCCAGTGGATCCCACACAATTTGACTGAGGTTCAAGAAACGAATCATGTCACTTGGTGCAATGCCATTCTTAGGTACCAGATTCAACGAAGGGGCGTCAAATTTGGTGTGGAACATAGTAACAAGTCACGAAACATGGATTTATAGTTACGATCCCAAAACAAAGCAGCAACCGAGCGTATGGGTCTTTCGAGATGAGCCGAAACCAACCAAAGTGGCGCGCGTGCAAAGTGCCTATACGGATGATTGCTTCTTTTTTTAATAAAACTGGACACGTGGCTACTGTTGCTTTGGACAATCGTTGTACCGTGAATAGTGATTGGTACACGACCATTTGCTAGAAGTTATTGACAAACTCCGTAAAAATAACCGTACACGCTGTATTATCTTGCACCACTATAATGCCAGTTCTCACACGGCCAGACAGACAAATGAATTTTTGAAGGTACAACGTTGACCTTATGAGCCATACCGCGTACAGTCCCGACCTGGCACCTTGTGACCTTTATTTATTTCCAAAAATTAAGAATCTGTTACGCGGACAACGATTTTCATCACCTGAAGAGGCTGTCGAAGAGTATAAAAAATATTTTTCAGAGGTTGTAACGGAGGAGTGGCATAAAAGTTTTCAAAATTGGTTCATTCGTATGAAAAAGTGCATTAACGCTAAAGGAGAATATTTTGAGAAACAATAAATCCATTTCTGACCATTTATAGTATTTTTTCTTGTTCATTCCGGAAACTTGTAGTGCGCCTCCCGTAT